CAGTTTGTTCTTGGACGACTTTAGTCGTTCACACAATACGCTCGGTACAAACCTTATACTATACGATATTTAATACGTTAATTCTAACGCAACGCTAACCGGTGATAATGTGATTCTTCTTTTTACGGATTTTACAGAGCACACTAAGGTTACAATTGTCAGACATGCTTTCGTATGACCATATTCTGTCAACTCTTCACCGCTATGTTTAAATATCTCAGCCGGTAAGCCATCTGCTTCAGCCGCTTTGTTGCTCTTTAAGCAGGAAATTGCTATTCGAACCTCGTCATAGTCGAGTAATGGAACGTCTTTTCCATTATCATTTATTGGGGTTCCCAGTTCGCTATATCCGGGTGTTGCATTTTCACTGTTTTAAAGGAGGCTGGAAAGTGTTTACTCCATAAAGTTGGTATGCTCTGGACATCAGGCACTAGATCACATCGTTTGGTTTTACAAGACTTTGCTTCGGTCTTGAAATCTTCAGCAATTTACTGTATCTTTACGTAGAAATTAGAAATTTCGTCCCAAAGTTCTCTCACATCAAGTTGCTGTTGGGTGCACCCAAAAACCAATTGTGTAAGTCTAATAGAAAACCATTCAGCTGTTTGCTGTTTAGCTTTTCAGCATCGCTGCGCCAAGGTAGTGGAATGAGTCGATGTTAGGACCTCGGCACATCCTCTAGAACACTTGGACATGTCTTCCGTCAATCACTACATGAACAGAATCATCAACACGTTTTTGTTTTCAGTTAAGATTAAGTAAACGCGGCGTCAACTTTGAAAACCAAAAAGTTCCTTTGATGTAGAATGATGACGTCAACTAACTGAAATGTCGATATAGAAAAGTACACGGTAAAAAATTTTACTCACAATATAAAACGAATTCCCTTATTGCTTCTTTGTTATCTGGCTACTTACTTTTTCGAACATTGCTTAAAGGCAGTCACAGCTTTTGACTTCGAATAGTTAAAATGAAAATTTGTGGGAGATAATTTCTGGAGCAGTCGCACAATGCAAAGATGAGTTTTTTTTAACAACAAAATTCCTTTGAAAGAAATAAAAGTTGCTGTGCCTGACAGTATCTTACGGTAACTAACGTCAGAAGGTATCGGCCTCAGCTACTTATGCATACATACATATTTATATATACATATATATAGGCGCTGTTTTGAATATTAAATTTGTAGATGTCGCATTTGGCTTTTTTATTCCCCTAAATGAAGTTAAGACTGATCTTTTTCAAAAAACTCGTACACTCTTATAATAACTTTTTTTCAAATCCCATGCAAATGAAGGCGTAAATAACTCTTAAATAATAAATAGTTACGTATACGCAAAGTTACACCAAAAAATTAATGTGAAAATGTGCTCTACTTCTTTTATGTCGCTGTCGCAAAGAACAATGCATATAAAAAAACCATAGGAAATATAGAACGGTGGTTCAGGCTTTCTTAATATTCGGTTTTGGGCCGGTGACCTGAAATTCCGTCGGAAAATACAATAATATAAATCCACACGTCACTGTACATTTTGACGTCATGTGGTTGTAGTGAGCGGAAAAAATTAACTTTTGCATGAAGCAAACTTTCTCAGAAATCGTACATTAAAGCGAGTTTCGGCTGTGCCCTTCCTCCGATTTGGGGTGTGAGTAAGTACATACTTAAGTATGTTTATTTGTACATAGACATACAGTCGTACATACATACATGTACGTGTTAACAACAAGCAATCAGTCTGGCTTGAATGTTATTGTTGACAAGAGCAATTAAACGTTGAAAATAGCATTTCTGGTTAGTGATGACAAATTTCTTGCATTTCAAAGCTTGAAAAACCCTTGGAACCTAATAAACTTAAGCAACAATGTATCACATATGTATTTTAATTTTGAGAAACCAATGCAATAGAAAATAAATTCTCGGAAACACTATTGTTGCTTTTGTGTACGATCTCTTAAATAATATAAAGATTCCCAGCTTTGAAATCAGCATATAAATTATTTAGAAACATAATCCAAAAGACATATTGCGTAATAATTGTAACAGTATTAAAAGGGTAAAGAACTAAACTGAAGGGTATTCCCAATTTTATGCTGTACGTCTTGGATATTTGTATAATTAAAAACTGGTTTTATTTCATGTCAACCGCAAAAACAAGAAATCGTGCTACAATAGAAAACATTTAATTAAGGCATTTAATAAATATTTACTAAACACTTTTCTTTATTAATAGCAAAAAAAAGTTAAATTTCAAGCATTCCAGCTAAACTACTAGAAAATCGATAATCGATAAATATTAGGATTTGAATCGTTCCGACAACTAATGTTCTGGTGCCGAATTTACAATATTATTATTATAATAATATACAAAAATTAAACAAAGAAACAAAAACTAATATAAAAAAAAATAAAAAATCAAAATATAAAAACCAAATTAAATTACATGTTCAACTCTCAATTAGATCATAAAGCGATTGCAATTATTATTAGACGTGATTAAAATATTTCCGCAAATAATAAAACATGCGTATATGCAATTAAAAAAATTAAGTCATTTTTATTTCTTAAAAAACACACTAAATTTGCGGTTAATAAGAGTTCATTATGACAAATACGCCTGCACGTCGCACATGAACTATTTGTGTGTGGAGTGACATTAATGCTACATTATAATCTAAAAATCAGCTTGGAAGCTTCTCAGTTCAAAAAAGAATTGCTAAAATATGTAAAATTTGGTACTTTTTTACATAAACATAATTGTATTTAAGTACATGTATGTACATATAAATATGTATTAGAACGCCAATTGGAGGGCTTGTTTTATTAATCGTCTTCCACCAAATTAGCCAGCCAAACACGTGAGCAAACTCGACTAGTTTCGACGTCACTGTATTCGTACGAGCAGTTAGCGGTCGGCTGAATGTACGATGGAGCTTGCATACGGCAGCAAAAGGTGTTAAGCGGGTTTTAATAAATAACTAATAAAAATGCAATATATTTAAAATATTAATACATATGATAAAAAATAAATACAAATATTTCAATTGATACAAATACATTTGATATGCATAATGAATGAACAATTATTTATAATTTCGTGAAAACTCGACTACGTGTGTATATACATACATATGCACATATGTAAACGATTGTATATATTTTAATTGCATTATTTACATAAATAATTATATACATATGTACATTGTATGTTTGCTTGGTGAAAGTATCAATTTTTATAAGTATGGGCTTGAGTAATTTGTTAAGTTGTTGACAGGGACAGGGAATTAATTGAGAGGTTTAGAAGCTGCACCTGTGACATTTTTTACATTTCATTTTTGTATAAGCAATGGTAGATGCCTTTTTGGCAAGTATGTAAATATGTACTAAGTTATATTTAAAATAATAACAATAATAAAAATAAGCCACTCCGGAGCGGTTGCCGAGTGGTTATCCGGAAGACAAGGGTACAAATCCAGGTGTCGTACCAACATTTAAAAAAAAGTTATAGAAAATTAATTTAAATAAAAAAATAAAAAACGAAAAATCTTCAGTGGAGAACAGTCATGCCAACAGGTGTGGCTTGGATCGAGTACACAATTTTAAAGTGATGTACTTTCTCGACGAACAAAGTCCAAACTCTCTAAGGTGCTCATCATTCCCGTTTTGCTATACGTTCCGCAGGCATGAACAATGACAATATCGGATAAGTTGACGTCAGAAGTTTCCGAGCGAAAGGTTTATGGCCCTTTATGCAACGTCATATACGACGATGTTAACATACTCATACTTCAGCGAATCAAGCAACAGCGGCTATGCTGGCTTTTTCAAGTTGTCAGTATTTGATGCAGTACCCGCAGGTGGGAGCAGAGGATGGAAAAGACTGGCGCTCTGTTATTGCTAACTCGCCCCATATCATTTATAATGAAGTAGAAGACGAAATACTTTCCAAAAACCGATTATGACCGATCGTAGTAGGAAGATCTCTGAGTACGTCGAGGGAACTGTAGAAGGGGCATATTTTTATTGAGTGTTCAGGTTTTGACTGAATTTTACGGATGCAATCAATCAGTATACGGAAAAGCTTCTTATAAAACAGAGTGAGCTTGTGAAACTTAATATAAATAAGAAATTTCATATATTTTACAAATTGATTTTATTAGGATGAGAACTCTGTTCGGTGCAGTATAAAGATCCGTCCCTCCGGAAAAGCGGAGAAAAAAACTTCTTGCTTGATACAGAGCCGATAATTTATTTAAATATTTTATAATATTTTACCTATTTATGTGATATACAGAAAGACTGGTTTTTTAAGAGTTATAGGGAAGTTTTTCATAATTATTTAATACAAGTATAATTAAGCCAAAAGAGAGCTTCAAAGCATGCACGGAAGAAGCGCGCGATGATCTCTCTTAGCAGAGCACGTAATTTGATAAAAAAATTCAATAATTTGCAAGCGTTGTTCATGGTTAAAATATAGACCAAACTGAATATGTTTGACAGTGATATAAAACACGAAACGTGAGTCATACAAACATACCTTCAATTCCGTGATCCCTTCATAACATTAAAAATTACATATATATGTACATTCATACATATGTACATATGCACAAATCTCGGAATAAAAGTGATCGACATTGACCGCCAATGCATACATATGTATGTATACATGTACATATGTACATTCAACCGTCCATTCATAACTGCGTAAGAAACAAACGTTTCTGAACGCCTTTCTTATGTACGCTGCTGCTCTCGCTTTACGTACGTATCGGTGCTCATAAACAAAACGTACACAGAAACGGTGACATACGAACATTTGACACGATCAGTGTTCGACAGGTTTTTTTCGTCTAACACCTGAATCGTCATAGCATAGCCGCGAAGCCAACAGCGACAGCGACTGTCTTCGCTACTGTCACAACACGCTGCCTCTGTCTCTGCCAACGAGCAGCTACTGTTATTGACGCTGCCGGCAGTTACTTTAAAATGAGAGGTCCTAACGCGCTAATGCCATTTGGCCGCCTACAGTCTGGCTTGAAGAAACGGCAAGAAAATAATTATTAATTCCGTAATCGACTAGGTTAAATTGATAAATACGGTTTAAAAGTGTCGAAAAATAAACAGTAACAACAACAACACTTCGGCCAAGGACTGAAGCGCAAAAAATATATTTTATAAGAATTACTTCTGCATATATTTTCAAAATAAATTCATTGTTTCAAAATAATTAATTATTAATGCCATTTTTACGCTGAAAGTTTAAAGAGTGTACATATTAACTACAGAGAATTATTTGACTAAAAAAGATAATAAACAGAGGCGAATAACAAAACAAAAAGTACAATACGAGACATTAAAACGTTTGTCAAGCCCTAAATAGATATAATAAAATCATACTAAGGCTAAATATAGCGTAATATTAATAATAAAAATAAAATTGAGAGTAATCAAGTGAGTTGTCACAGTGTACCTGATTGCAGCATGGAGAAAACGTATTTGCAATTGATAACGGTTTTATGCATCTTCGCACTAGGATTATGTGTGCCAACGTAAGTTTTCATGCATTAGAAATAGAGTTTAGTTTTGATATAATAGAAAGATTTATTTAAATTATTATAAAGAGATAAAAGCCAAAAAACAAAAAACAAAAAAAAACACGCTTGCACTTGAGTTAATTAAGGTGAACAACATTTTCTCATATTAACTTCGGAATTATACCAGGGGTGAAATATGCAAATATTATAACAAGTGGATTGTTTAAAAAAAATTAATTATTATTTTTTTGCTTTATTGTTCGGCGGCCGCGGTAGTCGAGTGGTTAGCATTGCGTACTGTCATTCGGAAGGCTTGGGTTCAAATCCTGGTGTCGTGCTAACATCCAAGGAGTTATAGAAAATTAAATTAAATAAACAGTTTTAGCTAAATTTTTTAATTGCGATCGTCCCTCGGCAGGGAGTGTGAACCCCTTCGAGTGCATTTTTGACATGAAATAAAGGCTACTCATAAAAAACCGTTAGCCGTTCGGAGCCGGCTTGGTATCAACTGTAGGCCCTTCCATTTGTTGGAAAAACATCAAGATGCGAAACCACAAATTGGAAGCTGAGCTCGGCCGAAATCGCTTCAGCGGTTACAAAGCACCATATGTATATATTTTTTGTGCAAAATAATAATATAAAATAAAAACAAGGTAAAAGTTAACATAAAATTAGACGTAGAATTTGAATAAAAGAGAATTGGGATGAAAATGACAATGAATGCTTATAGATGATTACAATAATATACATGAAAAAAAGTTAAGACTTTTTATCCAAAGGCGAATTTAAATTTTATTAATTTACGAATGTATTTACTAAAGTTCTCATATGTACATGCTCTTGGTATATGAGATCTTTATAACCGGTTAAGTAAATTTCGGCGGAGCTCCTCTTCCAACTTGTTTTTCTAACAAATAAAGTGATCTACGGCTTATTTAAAGCAGTTTATTAGCGGCTGCTGGATTCTTATGAGAAGCTTTTTTTCATGGCAGAAATACGTATACTCAGGCAAGCTTATATTTAGACTTGGAAGCCGCCACTCTAAAGTTTCGGCTTCATCAATATATGGGTCATGTCAATTCCAAATTGATAATTCCAATAAAAAACAATTTATTTTGGCAAAAGCTTTAACACTTTAAGATTTAGTTTAGCTGTAATTGGTGCTATAGATAGTTTTTTACATTTTCCGTTTCCAAAACCCATGACACAGAAATCGTAAAAAAAATGTACGATAAAAAAAAATTTTGATACTATTATAACATAACAGTGTTTTAATCCCTTTTCCAATTATCGAAGAATTTGTGGTCTGCTTTTTGATGTTTTTCAACAAACTGAGAGATCTGGAGTTTATTCTATGGACACTTCGAACGATCGACTGATTGTTATGAGGAGCTTTTATTTCATGCCGAAAAAATACACTTGGAAGACTTCACATACTTGGCCTTGTGCTGACTGCAATTAGAAAAAATCATTTTTTTATAATTTTGGATATTGGTAGGAACAGGTTTCGAAACCTCGCTTTCCGTATTGCAGTACGGCTATTGCGACCATTTATAGTGGAAAATAATCTGAATGGTACGAGAATCAATGATTGATGATTGCAGCAAAAAGCTCAGATACAAATAATTCTTCACTTATGTGATTTTGAATTATTAAAACTTCTCTTAAGCAGCTAAGGAATGAAATTTACCTATTTTAAAAAATTGTGTATTTCGAGCTTGAATAACTTTATTAAGTTGGAAAGCGCATAGAAAACTCGTTTACTTTAGTAGCGAAAGAGTATTTGAACTTAATATTTGAGCACACCTAATGATGAGCGTCAATATAATAGAAGCGAAGTATTAACATAATTTGTAGAAAGATTTAAATGAATTTTATGTAATAAAAAGGTTTCTGGCCGAAATGTTCGCTTGGAAGCGTTTAACAAGATCACAAATTTCAGTGCAGTGGCGAAGTAAAAAATGATATAAACATGTTTCGATAATATTAGAAACTAAGGTTACAGTTATGCAAATCCAGCTAACTCCAAGACCTCATATGGTTATATAGAATAAATTATTTCAACTTTTTTGCTAACTTAATATGCATACAATGATGTGTAAATAGTTATTGTACAATATACGCAAATAACTTGATTGTTTCTAAATAATTCTCCGTCTGCGTGTTTAACGGTATTCTTTCTCAGATAGGCGAAAATCGCGAATTTCACGTAAAGGGAATCTATGCAATATCGTACATATATTCTATATTTTATGCTGAAAAAAAATTAAAATTAAAATAGAATAAATTGCACTCAAATAAAATGAAATAAACTAAAATAAAATAACATAAATTAAAATAAAATCCATTGAATTAAATATAATGAAAAAAATAATAAATAAAATAAAATTAAATGAATTAAAATAAAATGAAGAAAAAAAAATAAAACAAAACAAAACAAAATAAAACAGAATAAAGAAAAAATAAAGTAAAAAAAAGCAAATAAAATCAAATGAAATAAAATATTTCTACCTTTTTCAAAATAAATTTGCATACATTGATGTGCAATTAGTTACAATATAAGCAACTAATTGATTGCTTTCAATTAATTCTACGTCTTTAATTAATTTATGCATAACATACATATTAGCTTTACTGAAGGAAAAGTAAAATAAATTAATATAAAATTAAATCAAATCAAATTAAATAAATTAAATTAAATTACACATTGCTATGTAAAATACAAAAGATAGAAGAAAATAAAAGGTTTTTTAACATAAATATATTCAAAGCGAATTACCCAAATAATACATAACATACACATACTCGTATGTATACGAGTTTACATATTTTAAAAATCTAACTGTGCACTGTTAAATACAGATTAAGTTAGATTGTTGTTGATAAGATTGCATTAAATTTATTGTATTAAGTTTGTTAAAAAATCAGTAAATATTTCTAATCATTTTGAATTGCATCAACGCTGTGTTAATTTTATGTTAATATTTCACTCTTTATTACGTTGCCTTGCTACTTATATTGCAGTGACCAAAGTCGGCATAGCAAATATAGACCGTATGATAAAATGTGTTCATAAATTACGGTATGTCAATATGAGTTTAAGTTTAGGTAGGGCAAAATTTTAAAGATTATCAAGCTTATCTAGATTTATCAAGCTAAAATGCATATTGAAATTTATGTGCTTTTCGGAAAACAGAAAATATAGCACAGTTTCAGCAATATTAATTTGAAGAAAGTAGATTAAACACAAGATTAATTAAAAGTAATATCAAGAATTATTTAAAATTGTACTATTTTAATTTTCTTTGTCTTTTATTATAATAAATTAATTAATTATAAAGAATTGTCCAATTTGCCTGACACGCATTGCTCATTTCCACGACATGGCCTCACGCCGTTGACATTGCCAGGCCTCAAGCAGCCTCCAACGAGACAAAACAGCATGTTGATTGAATAATTAGGTATGATTTTTGTTTGACGGAAGAATAATACGTAAATAAAGCTCAAATGTTTTTCCCACTAAGCTTAAGCGTGAGTAGGCAATGAGTTTCAAGGTTGACCGTTTTATTTCTTTTTATGATGGGCTTTGAGTAAGTGAAAATCATTATTAAAATAAGTATGGGCAAATTCAAACTGGTATGATGTCCGTATAAATTTTTGAGTTATGGAATACTACACATGCAATCCGTTTCTATTGTAATAATTATTTTTAGAATACATTTTTATGTAAAAATTATCCATTTTTTATTAATTTTAATACTTTCGAAATAATTGTTTTTAAAGACATTTCTTCTATAAAAATGAGGTGATTCCAGCTTGTAAATCACATTTGCACAATTAAGTTTATGAATATATGTATACAAAATGTAATAACTCTATTTTATTTCAGTTCAATGTTCACAAAAAAAAACAGCATTAATTAAATATTACAAATTAAGATTTAATTGGCTTGGCAAATATTCAAATCAAAAGAATATCAAAATAAAACAGAAATAAATTCTGAAGACAAATTGGATTAAAATCTAATTAGAAGATACGCAGTTAAGGAAATTTACGAATTCCACAATCCATACATACATACGAAAATATTTATGCGTATACTCGTATATGCGTATGAGAGTCATTGTGAAGAATGCAATTAAAGCTAATCGGTTAATTATTATAGGCTGACAAATACATTGACTTCACAGCACGTGACATCTTAACATAGATGAACACGAATACACATGCATATATATCTATACTCCGCTTTTGATACTCGAGTTGATTTACTCGTTTGCTTATCTTAGAATTTTTCGCAAATGCCGAAAAAAGGTAAACAAAGAAATCAAGGTAAATTTGGCCAAAAACTGAACTAAAACTCGCGTATTAATGTCGATTTTCGCCAAAGATATAGGCAAAAGCTCGAATAAGATTACGTTTTAATCGTCATGCACTCTTCTAAATCTATGTAACACACACATATACAAATATTCGCGTAACATTGATGGTTAATATGTACATTAGTCTAGTCTAACTTTATGTGATGTGTGAACAGTATACCAAATTTCATGTTTAATTGTGAAAATAATAGTTGCTCCGAAAATTCATTAATACAATACAAACTTCTCTGCTTATTTAGATCATAGCTAATACACCATTTCAGGCTCATAAGTGTTTGAAAATTCTCTTTTATTTTTTTATTTAAAAATATTTCCTTCAGGTCGGAAGAAAAGATTTGTTCCTTTGCGAATATATAAACTAGAGATTTTCCAGTTTTATGGTGAATTTTTGTTTTTAATAAATTTTAAATAAAAATTTATTTAACTAGAAGTAAATATTCTTTTAGAAAATGATTAAGCCAAGAAAACATATGCTTAGTAACAACACTTAATTTTGTTAAACTTGTTAATAAATTAATAAATATTTTAATAAATAAACATTTCTTCTAAATTTCCTGCCGAAAATATCCCCAAAATAATTCCTTTTAATAATAATTTACAAAATATATTTAAAAGTTTTTGAGTTGTAATCCTTCTTAATTAACTTATTGTAGTTTGATGGTTATTTTGAAGAGTTTTTTATTTTCCAATTATTTGACTTTAATTTTCAAATATGTCAAAATTTTTTTTTGGTTCAAACTCGAAAACTCAAAAAATATAATTTTCACGTATACGAGTATTCCGACTAACTTAATGTGTCCACCTACATACGTGTATACTCGCATACGAGTATGTACATTTTTGCACTGCGAAGTGCGCACGACAATGTCAAACGTTCAGGTTATTACTCTGTGTGCGCACATTTGTTACATATTCGGAACTCAGTGAATAATTACAAAAATAAAAAATAATTAAAAATAAAAAGAAAATAAAAAATTAAGCACTTCATATGCGTACAATCACAAAGTCATTTATTGTAATGTTGGAATTCTTTATTTCCGAAAAGGTTAAAACACTATATGTAGACTCTGGTGGAGAATTTATGTACTCGTACTTGGACAAACGAGAACACCTGCTGTTGCCGCTGCGCCTCAGAGTCTTTCAGATCTACCATATTTGGTAGTGATTTTTTCACAGTTTCTGTTTTTGATGTTGAAACAGTACGAAAAGGCAATTAATATATGTACGAATATTCAAGAAGTTTGATTTTCATTAACTTTTTAAACATATTCCGCAAACATTTGCTTCAAATGAATGCATGCAATTAAAAATTTTAACTGTTGTTTGGTTTTTACCCTTTCGATTCTTCTAACTACGGCAGTTACGTTAGGGAATTATGTGTATGCGGGACAATCGTTTGATTGACTGTGCGTTTGTGTGGCATAACTAATTGCGAAAGAAATAAAAATACTTTTCTAGCAGTATATAACACAAAGTAATTATTCCGAGGTTCTTACTGTTATTTTAAGCTGCTATAACAATACTACTATTAAATACAATTATTTATTATATACGTAGTATATACGTTACAATATTTATTCATCAGCAAAGTGATTCACAATTATTGCAAATCACTTAAATTATTTTTAGTTTTCAATGGTAAACAAATCTGTTTAATTTATTTCATTATTGTTGTGAGAAATTTACTTCTCAGCGCACTGTATTTGCAGTGAGAACTGCAATCTTTCTGTTATGGCGAAATCATTTCCTATGCCATGTTAAATCATTTTTTTGATTATTTTTATAATATTGCAATCTTTCCATCGTATATATAGATTTTGCTGATAAATTTGAATTATTGCTCGTGAATTGCTAAAAACTAAATTGATGTGTGATTCGAAAATGAGAGTTGATTTAATTTTGTGTTTACCCTGATTGTTACTGAAGTGCCCGTTGTCGGCTGCCGGTAGTTACTAGACATATAAATTCATACATATTATATATGTATATGCAAGTGCATCGGTACGTCGGCGATGCTTGGAAACTTTCCATTATTTCATTTGTATATGCTAAAAATACGCCAGTTTAGTTAAAGCATTTACCATTTAAAGTAATTTTTGACATTTTGGTAAAGTGCAGACGTGGAGATAGCCATCAAGTCATCATAATTTCGTTGATATGATAATGTCAGTATAAAAATAGATAGAGAATTTTAAATAGACAATTCACAACGGTTCAAAGCCCAGTATTTGCCACATCAAGTTATCTAATTTAGGCGGCCGAGATGGTTAGCATTGCGTATTGACATTCGGAAGGCCAGGGTTCAAATCCTGTTACAACCAGCATCATCCAAAAGTTATAGAAAATTAATAAAAAAAANACATATAAATTCATACATATTATATATGTATATGCAAGTGCATCGGTACGTCGGCGATGCTTGGAAACTTTCCATTATTTCATTTGTATATGCTAAAAATACGTCAGTTTAGTTAAATCATTTGCCATTTAAAGTCATTTTTGACATTTTGGTAAAGTGCAGACGTGGAGATAGCCATCTAGTCATCATAATTTCGTTGATATGATAATGTCAGTATAAAAATAGATAGAGAATTTTAAATAGACAATTCAGAACGGTTCAAAGCCCAGTATTTGCCACATCAAGTTATCTAATATAGGCGGCCGCGATGGTTAGCATTGTGTATTGACATTCGGAAGGCCCGGGTTCAAATCCTGTCACAACCAGCATCATCCAAAAGTTATAGAAAATTAATAAAAAAAAAAATTTAAAGGTAAAATTACTGACTGCGGTCGCTTCTCGACAGGTGATTTCATCCCCTGGAAAAACATTAAGACGCAAAACCACAAACTGGATGAGGAGCTCGGCCGAAATTCGCTTATGCGGTTACAATGCGCCAAAAATATATATATAATTATCTAACAATTTAATCGCATTTAATGCATATAAAGATTATTTTAAACTTTATTTGTACTAATTTTTTTATCTTAGTTCATTTTACCCTTTGTTTCATTTAATTGTAATTTTACTTAATTTTATTTGTTTTAATTTTTTTGATTTTATTTAATTTTCCTTCGTTTTATTTTATTTTATATTTCAGTTAACTTTATTTTATTTTACTTTGATTTAGTACATTTTGTTCTGTTTTACTTTATATATAATTCTTTTCTGTTTTTTTTTTTTTAATTTTAGTTCACTTATTTGTTGTATTTTGTTTAGATTTCTAATATTTTATTTTATTTTCTGTCCATTTGTTTTATTTCTTTCATTGATTTTAGTTCATTTTAATTTTATTTTATATTAATTGGATTATTATTATTTTTATATCTATTTAATTTATATTTATTTCATTGAATTGTTATATTTTTTTTTAAATTTTATTTAATTTGATTTTTGATTTGTTATTATAATGTTTTTTATTACAAATATTTTAAATTTATTTTCTATTATTTTCTTCTTTCTTTGCAGCCCCCCAGCAGCAGAGCTGAAAGGTCGCAAATTCCCACACGATTTCATTTGGGGTGTTGGCACATCTGCATATCAAATTGAAGGCGGCTGGAATGCATCCGGAAAAGGTGAATCGATATGGGACCATCTAACACACACATATCCCGAAAAAATTGTTGACCAGACAAATGGTGATATTTCATCTGACAGCTATCATCAGGTAATAAAAAGAAATTATTATTTTTTAAATATCTAAGGAGAAAATATTAATTAAATAACTCAACTTATGACTAAAATATGCAAAATCACAGAAAGGATTTTTTAATTCGCATGAATTTCTTACTCTATAACACGTTCATTGCTTAGGGCGAGTTACATTTACTCATACTCTGCCTCCCACTCAATCTTTTTATGAATTTCACCTACAACAGCCAATAAATAAAGAATATACAAAACCTCATAGCTGTTTATGACAGAAAATATGACTTTCTACGCCTACAAGTATTGTTTCGAAATTACGATAGTGATCAATTAATATATCATAAACTGTCCGTTAAATGATGCATTAGGTGCAATCGGACAACATATGCAAATTTATATTCTATACATATGTGTATTAAAATGTTGTTAATTTCATGTACGTGTATATGCATATTAAGTACGTGATTACATTTTTAATTACTTAGAGCTAAATTGCTTACTTAGCCAAATCAACAAAGTGTCATGTGTCATTGTGGTTAGAAGTGTGTGATTTTTTCATTAGAATATTTTCTCTCTACAAAATTTGTAGGTCTTTTAAAATAATATTACGTTAAAATTAAAATAAAAATAGTGGTTTTAAAAGTACCATTTGTGAGTTATAATACAAGTTAACGTTTCGTTTCTTAGTACTCATAACGGTTATCAAATGGTTAAAGCTGTATTCAAGGCCATTTACTTAACACTTGGCTTTCTGCATTTAAGCAAAAATAAATCAATTCCGTTACTTTACACCTGTTTACTAAATTTTACATAAAAAACAATAATTATCACAAAAAAACGAAGAGAATGTCAACTTGATCACCCTAATACCATATCCACTTCTTACATTTACTTTACACATAAATTAGCTCATAAGCGATAATTAATGTGCATTAATTAAGTAACAAAAGTAGCAAAAAACACATTAAATATGAAACCGCTTGGTCCAAACAGGTGTGCAATTTGTATGCTTAAGTGGAATCCGCTGTAAAGTTCAATCTTTTTTTTTTACTCGTTGACAAGATCGATTGATATGGATCAATTGAACTATTTTTACTGCTATCAATTAATTATGTTAAGTTATAAGTAGGTGTTTGAAGTTCTCAGAGGTTAAATATGCAAGTAGTTGTAGGTGGGGTAAATTTATGACATTTATTAATATAAGTGTCGGAATTTAAAGCTTGTGTGGACAACATTGTCTAAATGCTTACGATTTTATTGAATTTAAATATTTGATTTACAGATCCATACATATATTTGAAGTTTTTTTTTTAAAGCCAAACAATACAATTGCTAATCTATGAAAAGCATATTTGCACTTGAAAGTGCTTGGATACTTGGCATATATTTATATTTTCGCGCTACATGACAAATATTTATTAGTGCCAACGCAAATGGAAGAAGTTGATTAATAATATCAATTCAGTCAATAAGATCCGTTATAACTTATATTAATAATATCAATTCAGTGACCTAAATTATAAAATATGTATGCTGAATAAATAAAAGTAAATTATACTAGAAAGCGAATTTATCAAATATTTATTTGAAATAGTTATCAGTACATTTAGGTTGAACATAAGGGAAGACCTCAAAAGATAATGAAGTAAACTATTAGCGAATATTGAGTAAAAAAGATTGTTTTTTGCTTTTCTATTTTTGAGCATGTATATTAAGCGAATAGAAGTTTGAAGTGTTTCCGGAGTATGGTCGGATTAGCGGAATGTAAGTTTTCTCTTTTAATGCAATAGTAATCGAATCAAAACTTTCAAATCGTTAGTCATAAAATTTTATAAGAATATACAATATTTGTCACAAAGCCACAAATTCCTTAAGTATATAAAGATACTTAATAACAGTTTTAAATATTTGCTTTCGGCTTTTGCTTTAAACATACAGTGAAATGTCCTCCGGAAGAATCATTGTATAATTCTATTTTTTATCATATAATTTTGGTTTTTTGGTCACTCAGGACTCGGTCTTTGGCTTTTCGAATGACAAAACCTTTTTTATCTTCAACTACTTCCACTCTTGTTAAGAATAATTATGAAAACATCTGTGTAGATATTTTGCTATTTAAATTCAATTTGTCGAAACACAAGAAATAATCGAACGTGTCTAATATTTACCAAAAGTATCACTAATAAATGAAATATTGACTGGCTGCAAACTCACACCATTCATTGTTAGCTTTTTATGACCGGACAATGAGGCTCTATAGCCCAACAATAAGATGTTGTGTTTTAAAGTTTTTCTAGCCAAATTATGTCTATTGCTTTCTTGACATTCAATTGATTTTTTTTAATTTTAACAAAACTCTCTCTTTTCTTTCCTTCTCTCACCACAAGTGGCAACGCGATGTACAAATGGTGCGTGACCTCAACGTCCATGTTTACCGATTTTCCATCTCGTGGACACGCATCATGCCCGGTGGTTATATGAACAAGGTGAATAACGAAGGCATTCGTTACTATAGCGATTTGATTAATGAGTTACTGCACTACAATATTACACCGATGGTCACCATCTATCACTGGGATTTGCCGCAACGCTTGCAAGAGTTGGGCGGTTGGACCAATCCGGAAATCATACCCGTCTTCAAAGACTATGCTCGTCTACTTTTCGAGATGTACGGTGATCGTGTTAAGATTTGGACGACAATCAATGAACCTTGGCATATTTGTGAATTCGGTTATGGTGTTGATTATATGGCGCCTTCATACAACTATCCCGGCATACCCAACTATTTGTGCGCACACAACTTACTGAAGACGCACGCCGAGGTGGTGCATATGTATCGTGATAAATATCAACAATTGCAAAAGGGCAAAATCGGCATTACCATGGATACATCGTGGATGGAGCCGAAAACAGATTCCGATGATGATCGTGAGGCATCGGAGCGTGCTTTGCAATTCTATTTGGGATGGTTTGCACATCCGATTTTCTCAAAACGTGGCAACTACCCACAAATCATGTTTGATCGCATACATAATTTGAGTAAGGAGCAAGGTTTCACACGTTCACGTTTACCAGAATTCACCGCGGATGAAATACGTCGTATACGGGGCACAGCTGATTTCTTTGGCCTTAATTCATACACGACCAAGCGGGTGACGAAAAATGATCACAATAACAGCAAAAACTTCCCCGTGCCTTCATTCAGCCATGACATGGGTGTTGTTGAGGATCAAGATCCCAACTGGACTGGTTCCGGTTCATCGTGGTTGAAGGTGAGTGTTTTTGTGGAATTTGGATTTGCGTTGACTAGAATCGTATTTGCTGAAGTTGAAATGTTGAAATGCGTAAATGCTTATAAACGTGATTTTAAATGCCGCTATTGTTTTTTTTTATTGTTTTTTTTGTTAACAAATTAACATATATATGTATATTAATTTGATACCTTAATATGCATATTTTATTAAGAATTAGCTGATTATTCAAAAGTCCAAAATTAAAGAAAATATACGAATGTTTGCGAAAAAGCATTAATTATAAATAAATACATGTCACTGCATAAATCACTGTAAAATTTTATTGAATATTAGGTTGAGGAATATATGTAAATGAATATTTTTGCACGCAACACAATTATAATTTTACCACAATTTATTCAAATTAATTCTGCATATTGTGAGTAACATTAGTCGCTTGAATAGCATAGAGATTTAGACTAGAGGCTTTATAATGTCTGAATAAAAAATAATAATTATTTATAGTTTTGGAAAGTTTTGTGTCTATTGCATACGTTTTCCTTTATTAAAAAAAAACACAGAAAATGTTTATAAAAATATTTGTTAATAATATATTTCAGGTCGTTCCAAAAGGCATGTACAATTTGATTATGTGGATCGTGCGAGAATATAATAATCCACCAATAATTGTGACAGAAAATGGTGTAAGTGATAACGGTGGACTTGCTGATTACGGACGCGTGGATTACCTTAATTCATATTTATCTGGTAGGTTGACAATATATATATTTTAACGTTTAATTTTAAATTTGCCGCCTCACTATTTCAATATTATTTTATTTATTAATTTATATATGTAAATGTATAATTTTTTTTCACCTTTTATTGCAGCAATACTAGACGCTATTGAAGATGGTGCTAATGTACAAGGCTACACGTATTGGAGTTTAATGGACAGCTACGAATGGAAAGTGGGCTATACGTAAGTTATATACTATTGAAAATTATCAAATTATTTCCAAAGTTAAACTTTTATTCACATATCGTATTTCTATTTCTTATATTATATTACATTGGTGATGAATTAACAGTTTTACCTTTTCCACATTCTCTTTTATTTTGATATTTTTAGCGAAAAATTCGGTCTCTACCACGTGGACTTCAATCATCCAAATCGTACACGTACACCGAAAGTCGCTGCCAAAGTTTACGCGCAAATCTGTAAAACCAACACAATCGATTGGACTTATCGACCAACTCTCGATGAATTTCAGATTAATGCCATGGCTCAATTACCTGAAATTGAAATGGATGCGAAATCGGGTGCAAATACTATATTCGCCGCTTTAACTAGTCGCAGTTGGCATAGCATGACATTACTTTTATTAATTGTAAATTATTTGTTACGAATTTAAGTTAACATTGTAGTTGTTCGTTTGCCTTAAGATGTGCTTTTGTAAATATGTATGTATGTAGTATTTAATTAACTCGTTTTAGTATATGACTAAAGTATTATATATTATTTATATGGAATTAAATATAAAAATAAATTAAACCTATTTGTAAATATATTAATGAGCATTAAGATAAAAACGGTGAATTTGTTTACCTGTATGCTTTGGTTGGAGTAATAGATTAAAGGAGCTGGTGTTGTATAAGGAAAACCATAGATCCGCAATAAGGACTGGCGACGACAGAGTAATATAAAGAGTATATAAAAGAATTTAATGGAAGTGGTATCACATTTCAAGACCATGCGATTAAATTTTGAAGCATTTTTTTCTTCTTAATTTGTTGCGGAACTGAAACTAACGTCCTCTTCACTGGATGTCCCCAACCGNAAATACAACCCTTTATTTTTTCAGCTAAAAAATAGATTATTTTATTATTAGTAATAAAAAATTATTTATATAATCTCTTCAGTAGTCAATACATATATGTATTTATATAATCGGCGCTTTGTAACCGCTGAAGCGGTTTTCGGCCGCACTGTTTCTCTAGTTTTTACTGGCTAATGTTTTTTCAACGAATGGTAGTCCATCAGCAATGTAATTTGTTGTTGGCATTATTCAATTCATGGACTGGCGACGACAGAGTAATATAAAGAGTATATAAAAGAATTTAATGGAAGTGGTATCACATTTCAAGACCATGCGATTAAATTTTAAAGCATTTTTTTCTTCTTAACTTGTTGCGGAACTGAAACTAACGTCCTCTTCACTGGATGTCCCCAACCGAATGGTGGTTGTATCCTTCATATACATTTAAAGCTGAATTCTTTTCATCTATCTACAAATCTACATAATCCTGGCTCTTCTTAATTCGATCCAAATCAACGCCGTCCGTCGTCGCTTGTTTCCAAATATCCATAAGTGATGTATAAAGCCTTTCTACAAAACTCCTAATGCCGACTTATCAGTTATCGTTAAATCCAAATGTAAAGATGGTTGGAAAAGAATTTCGTTTAGCAGAGCTTGATCTTATTCTTGTACACGTAGAGGATTTTATACCGCTGAAGCGATTTTCGGCCGAGCTCGTCCTCCAATTTGTTGTTTTGCATCTTGATGTTTTTCCAAAAAATAGAGGGACCTACAGTTTATACTAAGCCGCCTCCGAAGGACCTTTTTTAAGAGGAGTCACGTCAAAGGAGGTCGTACCAGAAATAGCAGTACGCAATGCTAAGCACGCAGCTACTGCGGCCGCTTTATTTACGTATTCAATCCAAATTAGCACCTGTCGGAAAGAATAATAGAATTTTCGGCAATACCAGATTCAGTAATAGCGAAGGAGAAACGACACACGCTTTTAGAGTCAGCTTACGCTATTATAGCCGAATCAATTATAGTGCGCCCTTGAAAATACCAAGAGTAAGCAGGTCACTCTTCATCCGACCCTTCCACCAGCGGTTACTGCATCAAATATTTTCAGAGCTGGAGTGCTTTCATACATTCGGACGATATAACCTAGCCAGCGTAGTCGCTGTCTATTCATTCTTTGAACTATGTCAATATCATCGTATAGCTCATTATTCAGTATTCGCCGTTGCCAATGCGCACAGGGCCATAAATCGTTCCTAAAACTTTTCTCTCAAAGACTCCCAAACCCGACCCATCAGTTGTTGACATTATCCTCGCCTCTGCACCGTATAGTAGGACGGGTATTATGAACTCGGTTTTCGTTCGCCGAGAGAGGACTTTACTTTTCAATTGCCTACTCAGTCCAACGTAGCATCTGTTGGCAAGAGTGATTCTTCGTTGGTTTCAAAGGTTGACATTATTATTAGTATTGATGCTGGTTCCTAGATAGACGATCTAAGCCCTCGATGTTATGACTATCAGTAGTGACGCGGGAGTCAAGTCGCGAATACGATTACTGTTTGTTTGATGACAGCAGATTGTTAACTACCAGATCCATTCGGCACGGTTGTTGAAGCCAATAATGTTGATATCATCGGCATACGCCAATAGTTGCACACTCTTCCACACACCAGCATCTAATTGAAGAAATCACACGATAGAGTCACTCTGAAACCTCTGTCTGAAACCTCGTTTGGTATCGAACAGTTTTGGGAGGGTCTTCCCGATCCCGACGAAGCTTATAATATTGCTCAAGGTAACTTTACATAACCGTATAAGTTTTTCGGGGATAACAAACTCAAACATAGCGGGGTAGAGGCAGTTCCTTTTCGTATTGTCAAAGGCTACTTTAAAATCGGCGAAAAAGTGGTGTTTGTCGATCCTCTTTTCACTGCTCTTTTTATAGACTTGGCTCAAGATGAACATCTAGTCAATGGTTGACTTACCAGGTCTGTCAGCCACACAGATAAGATGCAATCAATTTGTTGTTGTTGTTGACGGTAGGCTTTAGTCTTTTACACAAAACGCTCGATATGCAATGTTGAGCAGGCTTATCCCACGGTAATTGGCGCAGACTGTGGAATAGCCCTTTTTATGGATTGGACAGAGTCGTTGGGCATGCTTTCATCCGACCATATTTCGAAAACAAGCTGATGCGTGTACCTTACCAGTTCTTCTCCGCCATGTTTGAATAGCTCTGCCGGTAGGACGTCAGTCCCATTCTCTTTGTTGTTCTTTAGGCGGGCAGTCGCTATTCGAACTTCCACATGGTCAGGCTGTGGAACGTCTGTACCAACGTCTTCGATTGGAATTTCCGGTTCACCATCCCCTGGTGTTTCATTTTTACTGTCATTCAACAGGCTGGAGAAGTGTTCCATCGATAAATTATGGTTCAGTTGGCAAAAATGGTAGCGACGATTTGGAAAAATTGAAAAACTGCGTAATACCAAATCACCACGTTCAAATTCTAAGGCAGCTCATAATAACAGCTTTAGTCCCAAAATAATGGCAATAATTTATGCTCCGACTTTACATTTAAGTATTTTATAGTAAATGAACTACAAAATATGGGATAAAAGTGTTTCAATGTGTTGGTTATTGCTAAGCGCATGTTTTTCTAAGAATTTCTTTATATTTGTAGAATATGTTTCAATCTTCTTGGAACTAGCTATTTATTGCAAACGTCATATTTTTACCGATTTCATATTGTGGAATCGAAGCGTGATGAAGGGACCACAGGCTATTCATTCATCTTGCTTGCTTGCTTCGAAAATAAAATAAGTTTCTTTTTATGACATTCCTTTTTTATTGTACAGTCTGGAGCGTGGTTTATATGCGAAACCCTACATCAATGAAATGACCGCCTCGCAAATTTTCGCAAGCTTCGAAGATTTTGCTTATTTACGTATCCCCCGGTGCAAAATCTGCCTTGACGCTGAAGTTAATTTTGTTCCGCGCTCTGCTTGCTTTTCAAGCACGCAATCGACGTATGTACGGCGTTGTGAATTCTTTGAAATTTCGCCAATTGTTTGAGTGGTTGGACTATTATGTGCGCCAAAGGAAGTATAAAATTCGGTAGTCAATACATATACATATGTATTTATAAAGTCGGCGCTTTGCAACTGCTGAAGCGGTTTTCGGCATTTTTTCAACGAATGGTAGTCCATCAGCAATGTAATTTGTTGTTGGCATTATTCAATTCATTATTTACCAAAAACTATTAAGTGCCCTAACTTAGCCGTCGTTTTCTTAATAATTTGGCTAGTGAGTTACTTAGTAATCCTGTATACTTTCACGCTTAATACATCCATAATGCGCTATTCAATTTTTTTATTGTATAATTTAGTGCTTTTGTATAAATTGAATTGAATATTTTGTTACGGAGAAGACCGTGTCAGAGATGCACTCTGAGGCGTTGACATTCCCTATCTATTGGCCACAATTACAAAAGTTAACTTAAATTTTTTATATATTTTTGGATTTCAGTCCGACCGTGACTCGAACCCTGACTTTTCGAGTGGTGCCAGGCACTGCTATTGCAACCGCACATAAATAAGATAAGTAATGTTGAAAAGACAATACTGCCTAGAGAGTCTTTCTAAACATATGTCCATGCGTGGGACTTGTTTACTTAAAAAACCAATAATGTTTTTAATTATCACTTTTAACAAAGCTTAGGTAATAAATATTAATACATATGAGTATAATTGATTTGTGGGAAATCACTAGTTTACCGGTTTTGACAACAAAAAACATCTGTTGGATTATTTATGTATTTATTGTAATAACACAAATGGTTAATGAACTTGCAAATATCGTTGACTTTAACATAAATCCGGATGCATATGTAATTTGTACTTACATAACTGCATATCCATGTATATATTTACTATTTAAAGCAATAACTAAACGTTTTCTAAAAAGTAAGTCAAAGAGCATCAACAAAAGTTTCAAAAGTGAAAGCAAATCTGACGAATAATGCCAGAGCGCAACGAGAACATAAACAATAAAACCTGCTGAGAACTTATTTACTCGCTCACTTACTATGAATGTAACTCTATACCACCATACATAAAGTTCTATAATTCATGTTAGTGCCATAACAATATTAATTCACTTTTCGACTGAGTTAAATCGACAATAAAAAAGTAATCATTCTGAAAGTTGAATTGCTGGAATTGGCATATTAATAATAAAGCAAAGTTACTCGTGTCATTACTTGCATAATAGAAAAATAGTTTTTACTTTTTACATGGAAATATGTAGAAACATTCTAACGTGCATTTTCCTAAGATAAAACGTGCAATAATTATTATTATGAAGTAACTAATTATTTTAGAGATTAAATTTACAATTCAGCAATTTTGAGGAATATATTTGGTGCAGATAATAATAAATAAATTAAATAAATTTTGATGTTAGTGACGATTTTTAGAATGAAAGTTCGACGAACAAATTTTAAGACTATATGATTTAATTGGGAAGCTTGGCGGTCGCCCGATGCAAAAATTGCTGAAGAGGGCAGAAGAAAGAATGAAAACTCTTATAAGATGTTTGTTCCCTAACACTTATACTGAAAATCCCTCTGGGAAATTTTAAGCCACCAGCAAATACCGAAACACCGTTGAGACTGCGTAATGGTTCACGGGCCAGAATAGAAAAAGAAAAGACGACTTGTTATGCGAGTATGATATTCAATGTAAATACCATTTCAAATAATGTACCCTTAGAGT